GGGGGAGCGAGCGGGCCCTGGGCTGGCGGAGGGACACGACAGGGTCAGCCCCCTCCCTCGCTGCTGACAAAAAAACCCTTTATTTTCCTGTCGGCGGCAGCGCCGGGCTCGCTCTTCTCACTTCTCTGGGTTTTCTTTTCCTTTTTCCAAAGATTTTTCCTCCTGCAGCGAGCCGCAGCCTGCCCTTTCCAGCTCCGAACAGCCTCGGTCCTCTCGAGTTCCCTGGAGCTGCCTCTCAGAAGCCATCTCCCCTTCGAGCCCGCAGGCGTCTGCCCCAGCCCGGCGTCTTCCTGGAACCGCCAGCAGATCCGCACGAAAGCGCGTGGGAACGAGTATCAGCCGAACAACCGCAAGCGCAAACGGACCCATGGCTGGATCAAGCGCATCAGCACGCCGGCCGGCGTCGCGGTTATCCTCCGGCGCATGCTGAAGGGCAGGAAGTCTCTGAGCCACTGAGGGCTCTGCCCGCGAGGTCGATTTGGTCGTGGGGCGAGCCGGAATCGAGCCCTAGAGCTGCCACCGCCACGACCCAGCCTGAGCGTCCGTGCCGAGGGAGACCGCGACGAGCAGCAGCGACCAACGGTCCCTGTCGTGTCGGGGAGCGTGTGAGGAATCGCGCTGGCTTGAGGGCGGCCTCCGAGGGCTTTGTTTAATGGCCGCTTTTTAAATCGTGACAGTACTGCCGCTTTGTGTGATTCAAAGATAAACTCGTGAGAACAGGAGCTGCGATTAAAGCCCCGCGACCTCGTGAGAACAGGAGCTGCGATTAAAGCCCCGTGATTCGCCTCGAGCTTCCTGCGCTAATTGTCAATGCCAAACTGACGGGGGGCCGGGGAGGGGAGGAAAGCTGGCTCGTTCGTGGGGTCCCAGCTGCTAGGGAGCCTTCGGAAGGGCGGCACGAGCGCGGAATCGGGGCTGAGGCTGGAGGGAACTTTGGGTTTAGTTTACACCGGCCGCGTCGGCGGCGCCTCTGCCCACTCCGTCCCCCCTGAGGTGCTTCAGGACCGGGATCCTGGTTCTCGGCCGCAGCTCTGGGCTGGGGACGGGGTGGAGGGGACCCCCCCCCGCCCCCCCCCCCCCCCCCGCTGCCTCGTTCCCGCCGCGTAACGAACGGCGCCTTCGTTATAACGAGGGCCACGGGGAGCGGAGGCACGGACTACATCTCCCAGCGTGCCCCGCGGCCGGCGCTACATCCGGGCCCTCCCGCACTGCGCACTTCCCCCCCCGGCCCTTCCG